CGTGACATAGGTAGCCCCCTCACTCAGGGCCCCGCCTGACCCTCACATGCCCATATATGGACATGATGCAGGCCGCCTGGCCATGGTCTGTGAGGTCCCAGCCCCTTTGCCCTCACAATGCCCAAGGGCCCCCCGGCATCTATAAAAGGCCACAGGGCCAGGCCCTGACTCACAGCCCACGGAGTTCCACCTGCTCACAGGTTGGCTGGCTCAGCCAAGGTGGTGCCCTGCTCTGTGCGTCCAGGCCAAGCCCATCCTGCACCATGGCCAGGTACAGATGCTGCCGCAGCCGGAGCCGGAGCAGATGCTACCGCCAAAGACGAAGATGTCGCAGACGAAGGAGGCGGTGCCGGAGCCGGAGAGCCAGGAGTAAGTGAGCCCAGCTGAGGGTGGGCTGGGGCTGGGAGCTCTGGGGCCCAAGCTTCCTCTCACCACCTTTCTTGGTCTCACCAGGGTGCTGCCGCCGCAGGTACAGACTGAGGTGTAGAAGATACTAACTGCACATAATTGCACAAAATAGCAAGTCCACCAAACTCCTGCCTGAGAATTTTACCAAACTTCAAGACCCTCTTGCCACATCTTGAAAATGCCACCATGCAATGAAAACAGGAGCCTGTTAAGGAACAATGCCGCCTGTCAATAAATGTTAAAAAGTCATCCCACTCTTGTCTCCTTGTCCTTGAGAGGGGAGGCTCAGTGGGGAAGAGGGCTCAGGATGAGCAGATGGGGAGAGGGCCTGGGCAAGCGACGGGGAAGGATGTGGGTGGGGGGGACATGAGACAGTAAGAGTTATCATACTGGGTTTTGTTCCAAACTCTTGTACCAACAAGTCACAACCAAAACCTGCCCAAGTCACAACCAAAACCTGCCTCAAGTCACAATCAAAACTTGCCTCCCCCAGTCACAACCAGGACCTGCCTCCCAAACCCCCTCTTCACAGATCCCTACCCAGTGGGGTTGTGGCAACCAAGTTCGAGGACCCACTATGTACATTTTCCCACTCTGCTCAGTGACTTTATCCTGGCAGCTTGAAATGGACCATGGAAATTTACAGAAATTAGCAAATGCTACAAATCTGGGTTCCCTCCATCCCTGGGGTCCCGGTTAAACATTGTCCAGCTGGAATTCAGCTCCCCTTATCTGACCTGTCCCCTAGCTGCCCACCTGGGGTTTATTTTAGCCCAAAGCTGAAATTTCCATAAATGAACTCTTAGTTTACAAATTAAATAGATTAAGCCAGTCACAGAACTGTTTATTCCTCATTACCGGCCACAGCGATAACGCGTACAGGTAGCTGAACTTCATTTAGTCAAGTGCCATTAAGGAAATTTCTTATCTACCATCCTGCAAACCCAAACATTTTGTTAACCACTGGTTTCTTTACTCTTTGGGGCAGGTTTCACAACGTTATGCTCACTTGAGGAAACAAAGGTTAACGTGTCCGTCTGGTCGAACCTAAGTCCCCACTCAAGTTGTGTATAATACACTACCTACACTAAAATTTCCAAGGCAAGAGAGTTTAAGACCCCAGTGAGATGGGGGGAGGGATGAGAAGTGAGGCAGCCACTCAGACACAAGCAATCCTAGAGGACATCGGTCTACTTGGCTCACTCTCAGCCTAAGAAAGCCCACCCTCTCTGATTCCTTGACACGACCCTGGCTCACAGTCATTTCATGATGGTAGAGCAACGCCCAGAGCACTTCGGCAGGGACCAGAGGTTCTGAGACCCAGTTCCCTGAAGTGACGGGGTACACCAAGCACCTCAGAAATGTCACAGTATGACTTTTGTTTGTGGGGCACCAACTGTGTGCCTAGCATTCTGCACACATCACTTCCTTTTTTTTTTTTTTTGAGACAGGGTCTCTCTCTGTCACCCAGGCTAGAGTGCAGTGATGCAAACACAGTTCACTGCAGCCTCAACCTCCGGGGCTCAAGTGATTCCCCTACTTCAGCCTCCTGGCCTCCTGAGTGCCTGGAGCACATCAGAGTTCAGTGCTAGCCCTGCCACCACCATAACCCTGATCACTGCAGCAATGGCTCTCCATAACACAGTCAGGCCATGACAGCAGCTTGGCTGGACAGGCAGACCCTGGAGTGCAGTGGTGTGAACGTGCTCACTGCAGCCTCGACCTCCTGGGCTCAAGCGATCCTCCCCCACACAGCCTCCTGAGTAGCAGGGACTACAGGCACATGCCACCACACCCAGGCTAATTTCTTTCCTTTTTGTAGACGGGGGCCTCACTATGTTGCCCAGGCTGGTCTCGAACTCCTGGGCTCAAGTGGTCCTCCCACCTCGGCCTTACAGGTGTGAGCCAGCACACCAGCTCCTTCCTATTTTCATCAGCAAGCTCTGGCCATGGAGATTTGACTTAACAGGATGTAGGGTAAGGCCCTAGCATTCATATTTTTAACATATGCCCTCAGGGAGCTTGAGGGCCACTCTAAAGGACCTTCTTATCCTCAAAGAGAGGCAGCACAGAAACACCGCAGGCATGGCAATATCACCCGTCACCTCCTGCAAGGATCTGAAGATTAAGCCCTCTGTCTTTGTTTCCTAATGCTACCATGACAGATTGCCACAAGTTTTGTAGCTTTAAACAACACAAATATGTTAACTTACAGGTCTGCAGTCAGAATTCTGAAACAGGTCTCACGGGGCTAAAATCAAGGAATCAGCAGGGCTGTGTTCCTCCTGGATGCACAAGGGGAGGATAACCCATTTCCCTGTCCATCCCCGAGAGGCTGCCTGCGTTAGCTCATTGCAGCGGGGAAATGCTGCAAGTGCTGTGGCAAGGATCTGAAGCCTCAGCCTGTTCCAATATAAATATCGATTTAGAAATGAATTAGTAATTTAGGCACCTAGTTATTCCTTTATTTAATAATACGTAATCTTATAGTTACTCATTTATAATCATAAAGATATATACTCAATATAACCTTTAATTTTACTAATGACTATCGGGTTATGAAGCATGGAACTGAGGTGACATCGTGAACAAAGTGATCCTAAGGCAAGATGCTCTAAGCCCTCTGTGACGTCCGCATAGGGCTGTTGGAGGGCACCTCAGCTGTTCGGCAGTGCCAGCGCTGGGAAAGCGCCTGCTATTTAGCCAGCTAGGGAAGGAAATGTCCAGAACGGCCGAGACGTCTTCTTCCTGGGGGAGTTAGGAGAAAACTCCACTCTTCCAAGCTCTTGTGGCAAGGCCTGACGGCTGTCAGGGATTCCCGCAGACATCCAGGGGCTTAACTGTCTCTATGTGATGCTGTGCTTCGGTGGTCATGCTCCGTGTCTACTCTCCCACCCTGCTTCTGCATCTGGTTTCTCTTTTTCTTAAAAGATAAGAATTAATAATAGTAACATAATCTTAGTGTCCTTGATATTTCTGGCAAATATGCGAAGAGCACTGACTCATTGGCTTTCTCCTCCCCTCGGCTACTTGAAAGTCTTGGGCCCCCTATCTTCAAGACATGTGATTTACCTGACCCTATCACCGACCACCATTACCTCACCCTACCTTCCCTGCCCCCTGCATTGTACTCAATAAAAGTCAGAGTGTCCTGGCACTCGGGGCCACTGCAGGTCCCCACGCTGTGGTTGGCAGTGGACCCCTGAGCCCACACTCTCTTTTCTCTATCTCTGTGTCTGTGTCTTATCTCTACAGTCTCTCGTCTCTGCACCAACAGGGAGGGGCTCACAGAAACCTATAGGGCTGGACCCTATAGCTCACAGCCTCTCCCTTCATCTTCAAAGACAGCAGCATGGCTTCTTCCAATTTCTCCTCCTGTGAGCCTCCTGCCTCCCTCTTCTCTCTTCTCAGGGCCCTTGTGAATGCACTGGGCCAACCAAGATCATCTGGGATGATCTCTGCATCTTCACGTCCTGAATTTTGCCAGTCTGCCACATTCCCACATTCTCCCTGCCCTCCATGAAAGGGAAACTGGTTTTGCAGTTTCTGTGATTCTGATCCTGGACTTTAATGGGATCATCCAAGTTCAATGAGAAGCTCTGGCAAGGCTGAGTGGGAGGAGAGAAGATGCGTATGTGAGAGGAGGAGAGGGGAACATCCCCTCCGCTGGGCGTAGGCAGAGAGCCAAGGGTACGAGTAGAGCCAGGCTGTCTCTGAATGCTGGCCCAGCCTGTGCTTCTCAGCAGAGTGGTCTTGAGCAACTCAATCTCTTTATGCCTGTTTGTCCCATAGAAAATGGGGACAGTACGAGTGAGGAATGCCCAGGGGTGGCAGCTCACACCTCTAATCCCAGCACTCTGGGAGGCCAACATGGGGGGCTCACTTGAGGCCAGGAGTTTGAGACCAGCCAGGGCAACATGGTGAGACCCCATCTCTACAAAAAATACAACAATTAGCAGGGAGTGGCAGCACACACCTATAGTCCCAGCTACTCAGGAGGCTGAGGTGGGAGGATCATCTGAGCCCAGGGGGTAGAGGCTGCAGCAAGCCACAACTGTGCCACTGCACTCCAGCCTGGGTGACAGATACTGTCTCAAAACAAAAAGATAGAGAGAGAGACAAAATGAGTGAATGTATGGGATATAAACGAATCAATGCTTGGCACATAGGAGCTGCTAGGGAACTGTTTGCTGCTGCCGCCATCTCAACAGTAAGCTGCGTGCGGAGCCAGCACGGAAGTCCCTTCCACATGGTGGAACACAGCACAACACCAAAGAGGTGAGGACACTTGCAAGTGACAGTGTGCATTCCCACCGGCTTGGGGCAATGAGAGCTTGGATTAGACAATAAAACGCCAGCCATCTGTATGATCGCACCCGCTACAAGAGACAGGGGACGTACTTTACAGGCAAGGCAAGGGGGTCTCTCATCCTTCTAGCCCTGCAGCTTGGGTGCCAGAGCCCTGCTAGCTGTGACCCCCAGCCCATGCTGCCCTCACAGAGGAGGCTGGGAAGGGCGGGGACAGGGCGGGGTCACAGAGTCATAGTAGGGCCCCCCTTTATATACAAGCTCCCTGGGAGCCTCACAGACCAGACCAACACTAACACCAAGGGCAGGTGGGCAGGCCTCAGCCCTCCTCCCCCACCCCAGGGCCCACTGCAGCCTCAGCCCAGGAGCCACCGGATCTCCCAACACCATGGTCCGATGCCGCTTGAGGAGCCCGAGCGAACGCCCACACGAGGAGTACAGGCAGCTGGTGAACGGGCAGGAGCAAGGACGTAATGCCCAAGAAGAGCAGGGGCTGAGCCCAGAAGGCGTCGAGGCCTATGGGAGGAGCCACCGAGTCTGCTATCGCTACAGGCGCAGGCGCTGCTCTCGCAGACGGCTGTACCGGATTCACAGAAGACGGCGTCGCTCCTGCAGAAGGCGCAGAAGACGTTGCTGCCGATACCGGAGGCGGTATCGCAGAGGTCTGCCCATGCCCCCCTTCATGCCCCTGACCACCCCAGGCACAGGAGGGAGGCTGGGACCCACCCCACCTGGCAGAGGCTTCAGCTCCCTGACCCCCGTCCCCACCCAGAGTCCCTAGGTGCCCCCCCTCAACCAGATCTTTCTTTCCCCAAAGGTAGCAGATCCAGGAGGAGGAGAAGATGCAGAAGGTACTAAGCTTCCTGGGCCCCTCGCCCCCTCCTGGAAGTTAAAAGTCACCTGCCCAAGAAACACCAAGTGAGGCCATAACAACACCCCTACATCAAATGCTCAAGCCCTGAATTGCTGCTGAGAAGCTCACAAGATCTGAGTGAAATATGCCCAAGTCACCTGCCCAATAAAGCTTGACAAGATACTCGCTGGCCTATTGGGGTCTCCTTTGCACAAACTGCATAAACCTGGCTTCCCTCTCACCCAGGGTGGATAGAGGCTTCTCTGCAGCCCTTCTTCGAGGGCGGGTAGGGCGGGAGCTGTAACGCTCTTAGGGCGCCTAGGAGAGCGTTACTGTGCCTGGGGGTGATGCTGTCCTGTCCATCATGCATCTTTCCATGCTGTCAAAGGCCACATTATTCTGTCTTAATCCCCGTCCAGTGAAGAGCCTAATCCTGCCCCATGAAAGGAGAAACTCGTTAGAACAGATCAAGCCCTAATTAAGTCACAAAGATATCAAGGCATCTTGTAGCCATATTTAAAAGACCTACTGTGTGCCATAGCTTATCTTGAATGTTGGGTGGTTAGAAGTGTAAACGGTGGGGGCAGAGGAGCAGTGCCCGCAATGGCTTCAAGGTGGGAAGCAGGTCTGGCATGCTCCAGCAACAACTCAGTTAGCACAGAGGGGGCAAAAGGCAAGGAGCAGATTACTCTGGCTACGTGAGGCCTGGGCTGACTGAGGCCTCTGGAGGCTCAGGGAGAATCCGATTCTTGCTGCCTGCTCTCCTTGGCTTGTGGGTGCATCACTCCCACCTCCTGTCTGAAATCAAGGACCCTTGTGAGACTTTCTGGACAAACCAGGATAACTTCCCCATCTCACATCACAAATTCTAGGATTAGGACGTGGGCATTTTGGAGAGGCATTTAGCCAACCACAGGACTGGGGGAAGAAAATTGGCATGATCCAACCTCTATGTTGGAAAATGGATTCCTGGTGCTCAGAAATGACCAATCTTTATGAAGAAATGACTTTCCGAAAAAAAAACTTTTTTTTTTGAGATGGGGTTTTGCTCTTGTTACCCTGGCTGGAGTGCAGTGGCACATCTTGGCTCACTGCAAACTCCACCTCCTGGGTTCAAGTGATTCTCCTGCGTAACCTCCTGAGTAGCTGGAGGAGCTAAAAAATATATTTTTGGTATTTTTAGTAAAGCAAGGGTTTCACAATGTTGGCCAGGCTGGTCTCTAACTCCTGACCTCAGATGATTCACCTGCCTCGCCTCCCAAAGTGCTAGAATTACAGGCATGAGCCGCCATGTCCAGCCTGAAAAAATTTAAATTAAAAAAATACCACTGCCATTTACAAAAGACTCATTTCAATGTATGAAAAAAAAAAAGTTGGCCGGGCACAGTGGCTCATGCCTGTAATCCCAGCACTTTGGGAGGCTGAGGTGGGCGGATCACAAGGTCAAGAGATCGAGACCATCCTGGACAACATGATGAAACCCTGTCTCT